TTTTTCCCCTTGGTTTTTCCAGCACCTATGAACACAAAACTTTAAACAGGTCGGTGTAACAATATTTTGCTATTTACATACTAACCCCCAAATCCATCCATTTCTGAAAATAACAGCAAAAGGAAATGCATGCTACATGTAAAACCCTGGTACAGCTTTTCCACCCTAGTCCCAACCAGGATTGAATTTCACCTGAATGTTACGTACACTGGACCCGTGTAGAAAGTAGAAACCATGTTGCATTCCTGCTAGTGTGATTTTGGATAGAGTGAAGGGCCCTTAATCCAGCAGCTGCAATTAGAAGCCATTATCAAGGGGAATCACACTCGCACAAAGGTCACAAACACATTCTTAAATGGTACAATTGTAGGCGCCCTTGTAACTTTTTTTGTGTATTTTAGCAACCCCATTGTTTGGAGCATTGAGCACACACATAAAACCGGCACTGAAACGCTACATGATGTACCCCCTCAAAAACGGCATTCATTGTGGTTGCCAGATTTGTCTGGCTGTTACTGCGCCAACAAAACAAAGGTCTCATGGCCATGAGCTTTGGGTTATGCAGTTGTTGTCGTACACAATCCAAAATAGAATCCTGATTGTGTGAGTCTGGAATACTGAACTTCAAAGTACCTTGACCTTCTGATCAAATCAGAAACTACAATGAATCAGTTCTTTTGCTACCTGCATTTCTGTAAATGGAACAGAAAATGGAAAAACAACTTGGTCATGCAGAACTCATGGAGTTGATTTATCCACAGGATTATGTGGGGCAAAGAGTGTAGAGACTTTATCTCATGTTGAACTGCACAACTCTCTGTGATATTACATACATGTATGTATGTAGAACACTTGAATATGCAAAGGTACTGAATGTGAATGGACCAGGCATTGATAGTACACAATGAAAATATTTTCTGTTTAGCACATTTGAACTACCGGGTAGGTGTTATCTGATCCCCACCAGTTGGCTGGACGTGTGCAGATAACGTTTCCAGGATTAGAATTCTTAGAATTTCGCTTCAGTCCGGTTGTGTCCCTTTTGGGTTTTTTTATTCTCAAAATCCAGTGTTTAGACTCTACATCTAAAACCGCCTTAATTATCATCTCATGAGAGAAATGAAAATCCAGAAGTAAATGTCACCGATTGAAAAAAAAAAAAAACCTGCCCCTCTTAAAAGATGAACTTCTGGGAAATCAATGTTCTTTTTTTTATTATATAAAAAAGTCTACGTGCGAGGTTAAAAAAAGAATCAGAGTGGATTCTCAGCAATTGTTATTCTTCACTCGCTGTAAGTACTTCCCAATCGAAACAGAAATGTTTATCCATGCGCAGGAAGGAGTGGGCGGCAGAGTCCCCGCGCTGTTGACATTTTGAAACCCTTTGTGTTGACATGCTGGGCATTTGGTTTGAACATGAGTGACCTTTTAATATAGGGCTCACCACAACGGGGTATATTCGTACTCCTTTTTTTGGGGGGGGGGGTGCAAAGACATTGTCTCTTTTGGAAAGCTTTTGTAAAGTCATTTTTACGAGCAGGAAGGAGGAAGTTACACTTAGATGATGGGGAGGATGGGCACATTTACCTGCGTTATTTGCGGTGTGAGTCACACAAAGAGGATGTGGTAGTCACAGTCTTTGTTAAGTGAGTGGGTTGGATTGTCTCTTGTTGTTGGGTGCACTGTGTGCAGGGTGTCAGGCCATTCATGTTGACATCATGCGGTGATCAGGGTGTTAACAACTTCCAGGTTGGTGTTGGTTATATGGTTAGATCTGTTTTGTTTTGAGATTTCAGAAAAGGGACGTGTGAGTGATACTGGATGGCCTTGTTTTTTCCTTTGCTTTCATGACATGGCAGAAAAGTTCAAATGCTCGGTTGTCGGTGCATGTAGAAAGTATGTACAGTATATGCGGTACCAGGAACAAAGGTACAATACTACAGATAATATGGTTCCCTGCAAATCAGTCTTTAGAAATCTCAGTACCCAGAAGCGAAACATTATGTAGTTTTGAGATTTCAAGGAGAACAATCGTAGGGAAATATGGGCCCCGTGCGCCAACGAAAGAGGGCACCCTTTTACCTAGCAAGGACGTCCCATGAGTGGGACATTTAGCTGGTTGACGCGCACCGTTCCTTGCGTGTGACGCACGTACACCAGGGGATTTGTACTATGTACACGCAGTGGTACGGCCGACCTACGCGTCACGGCAAAATTGCAGTCAGGCAAGATGGCGTCGGTCGGTCACCCCCAACTGTACTTGCTTTGCCGGTGAGGGGGTACTTGTGAACGGAGTGGATAGGTGGACAATAGTGGTACATGTACTGCGAGGGTGTGTATATCAGTGGGGGGGGGGGGGGGGGGGGGGGGGCGGGTTATGGGGGGGGGTGCGGATGGACATGAACCTTTAATTATATAAAACCCTGTAAGAGTTTGGGCTATAAGAGTGCTATTTGTTTGTTTTAATTAAGATTCCTTGAGAAGCCAAAGCCAGAGACAGGCCAATGTTTGAGACATGTCATTGGTCTGTAATATGATTCCACTGCCACACATGTTACATCTCCTTCTTGATGGTAGGGGTTAATGAACCATATCACCCAATGATCCATGCCCGTAGGGTGTTGGCAAACTCGGGTCAATGTGCTGCCTGCTGCTGGGTGAGCAATAGTAGAGGTCACAACCTGGCAAATGGCAGGTCCTAATGGCAAGATGGCCTTTGAAAACGTGTTTGGAAACATCCTATCGGTACATGTACAATATCAGTGTCGAGGTACTTGTACTCGAGTACAATTTTTCATTCTCGTACTCATAATGATGAGAATGTACTAGGTACTAAAAACTCACACTCGTTAGAACAAAATTACCTGTAGTCATGCGTGAACTCATGGCAGAGTACTCGTACTCATACTCATGGGAAAAAAAAATTGCCGTGGACTTGTACTCGTATTCGTACTCATGGCAAGTAACTCTGACTCGTACTCATAATTAAATATGACAAAGTTCTTGTACTCGTGCTCATGCTCATAGAAATGTATTATGAACCTGATGCACAGTTCCAACAGTAGGAATTAACACAATCGATTTGCCTATTATCAGCTTTTTAAATAGCCTGTTACTTCAGGCATGAGAAGTATGTACATGTACATGTACATTGTACCCTTATACTTATAGAAGAACTTTTGTGTTGTACTGTTCACCTGTTCTTGTCTGAACAGTAATAGTATGCCTTTGTGTTTTCGTGCATCGAGGACTCCATGCGATTTGTCCTACGGTTATGATAGGGAACCAAAAACATTGTTAGTACACCAAAAAAGCCCCACAACTCCCAATTTTCCATATAAATTAATTCTTGTTCACCATAAACACTGTTTTTAAAAGGGCAATGGCATTGTTGATTATGTACATTGTAAGGGAGGGGAAATATTTTTAAATGTCATTTTTTTTTTGGCTTTCATAGTATGAACTTGTATCTCATCGAATTTCAACAAGGATTTCTACACGCTGACTTCTTTTTCAAAAATCTAATCGACTTGTAACGTTTCTTTTACTGTTTACGGTGATTTGAGTGAAGATCAAGGTCCTTCGTGTCCCGCTGTCTGTTGTATGATGGAATTTCAGTGTCACGAAAAAATCTGCAATGCTAAACTTGCATTTTGCCCTGGCCAAGGGGAAAATCCCATGGCCAAGAGATGATGTAGCCCTGAATGGAGCCAGTTGCCTTGGCAGGCCCTTCACATCACCTGCTCAACCTCATCAATAATTCATGATCACCCTGTTGTTAGGCCTTGTGGTTTTCTTCTTCGTCTTCTTCTTCTTCATGCTGGACTGGGGCAGATCAGCCAAAGACACACTGGTCATTGACCGGATGCCATGCATATGGCCCTTCCCTGACAGCGAGCTGAGACACTGCAGAATTGATGCCAGTATTCTGGCTGTCTCCCTCCGTTTACGCTGGCATTTGCCTTCATTATTCAATATGAATTGCATATGCCCGTCCTTTTAGTATTTGAAATGCAGACTGCGACAGATTGAGTGTCCAAATCAACAACTGCTTGCAATTCCGGCGTGTCAGCTCAGATCCCTCATTCGGTTAGTTATTGTCAGTGATTGTTTTGCACAAGGGAATGTGGACTGGTACAAACAATATGCTGTTTACGTTAATATCGCGCATTTATCCATCACATAGCATGTCAACAACAGTAAATTTTTATCTGTGATAATAATGATAATAATAATGTGATGCTTACATAGCATTTTACATACTAAAGGTCTCAAGGCGCTTCACAATTATTACCCCTGTTCATCGGGCCATGAGACCAGTTTTTTGCAGCAGCTAGGGATCGGCGCATTCTGGTCTCTACCTTCACAGGCACCCATTTATACTCCTGGGTGGAGAGAGGATAATTGTAGTAAAGTGTCTTGCCCAAGAACACAAGCACTATGTTCCTAGTCAGGATTCAAACCACGTACCTGAGTTGAACACGGCAACCAGTGTACCACAGAGCTCCACATCTACAAATACATGTAAATCAAATATTTAGTCTTGACAAAACCAGGACGCAGCTAAAAAAAAAAGTCACACGATTGGTACTCAATCTGATTAGTACTCAGCTGAATTTCGTGAAGCAAATAAATTTTGTTTTCTTAGTCTAACCAACACCCCCCCCCCCCCCCCATCCTGGCCACCATTGTACTCCCAAGTACAGAGAAAGTCATTAACACAAAAATAATCATACAGAATACCATTGAAAATGTGATCACAAAATGATTGATACAGGGTTGAGTAGGTTCATCCAAGCGGAGTAATGTTATGCATGCTTGTTGATACATTGTAAGAAGAGATCAATTGATGATCGCTCTTGAACTTACTTTGTGGTGTGCACATGTTTGGTATAGCAGTTAACTACTACTACTACTAGTGATGAGCTTTGCTTGATAAGTGTATTGACCTCCTGCCCAATAATAGTTGTCTGTCTCCTTGTGACATGTCACCCTTGCAGGAAGACAGCCCCAAGACTGCTCATCATCCAGTGTTCCAGCGCTACACGGAGGTGAAGGTGGACGTGGACAAGTGGCTGCATGAGCAGAAAGTGCAGCACATATTGATGAAAGCGCCCTACCCACTGACTGGCTATAGGGTACAGGTCTACCGCCTCGGCTCCACCACCCAGTGGTTCTCAGCTGTCATTACTGGTCATGATCTCTACACAAGGGTAAGCTGGTCTAGCCCCCCCCCCCTTTTATCGACCTTGTCCCTCCCCCTCTCCTACCCCCTGGCCCACCCCTTCCCCTACCCATTTCCATGTACTGCCTGACCGCGCTCGTTAGTGTATCATTTTAACATGTGTGTGAACATTAGTCAAATATTTCATTCAATGTGGCGTGCTGCAGTTTATTTCATGCCCTTGCTGGTATTTTATCTGTACATCTAAAAATAGCCCCGTCTGGCAGATGTTACATGATCAGGTGCCAAGTTGATGAACTTGTGAACAGTACATGTGACCTTCACTTCAACTTTGAATGGCAAATGGCGATGAATAATGGGCTTGAATCCGACGCATTCTTGGAAATGATTAAGGTCGCTTTGTAAAAAAAAAAGGGGTCGTGTATTCTGCCTTTCAGCATAATTAACAAAATTGCGTAATGCAAGATGTAATTGTATCTGCCCCGTGGAATCAAAGAGAAATTTTATGCTGGAATATTCATTCCTGGAATTCCTCTGCCTGCCCCCCCCCCCTTATTTTCCACCGCAGTTGTGAAAGAAAGTGTAGTGCACCCCGGGCTTTGTTTACTCACGGAGCAAAATGAAGCCACGCTGTTGTCTTAGCCTGTCTGTGCACGGTCCTTCTTCAGTGAGGTGCGGGATTCGCTCAGAGGCACACATATCCCAAGCGCTCTTTCGTGTCCGACAAGTGCGCTGTTTTATCCCGAAATATTATGCATGGAAGGAGCGCGGTTTGGAATCCAAACTGTATGAATAATACACCCTCGGGCTGCACTATATATGTAGAGCGGGAATACGGTATTTTTTGTGGTGTCAAGGGAGAACGAAAACGCGGACACGGAAAGTTCAGCAAAGGAGGAAAAAAAGAAATTGGGGATGGATAGAAATCAGACTGATTGCCATTCTGATAGGGATTTCAAACCTGAGGGATGAGATTTATGCAGTGGGCTTTGCAAATACCAGAGGTCATAACTCAGAACGATAGAAGGCGTCGATAGCAAATAGGGAATCTCTTCCGATCAAACCGGGCAGATATGGCGTGGTTAAAAAGGGAAGAAAAAAAAATAACCGGAAAACATTAGCCTGCTTAAGTTGTCAAAAGTAGCTTTTAGAAAGAGGGGGAACGGAAAAAGAAAACGAGTGCCAGGAACTGAGTGCCTGGCGACCTTTTAGCAAGAGTACAGCCATTTTTCTTTTTCTCTAGTAAGTTTGATCAGATTAAAGCTGAGGCTGTACGAAACTTGGTGAAAGCAATCCCTCAAGGCCGGTTGATGTCATAATGTAGCTTTGAATGGCAATCCTATAATTTTTTTTTATTCATTTGAAAAAAAAATGGATTGGCAAAAGGTCTTGCCAACTCAAATAAATCCTTGTTTTCGTCAGAGTCATTGAAATGCGTCATTGTGCCTGTTCTTCTGTAGCTCCCCCATCAGGCTCCAGCGCCGAGAAGTTACCGTTACACTACCCTAAAATTGCATTTACATGTACTTAATAGGAGCAGGAATTAAATGACAATTTCCAACCCAAAAAAAAATGGAATGTGAAAAAAGAAATGATCCAAATGCTAGATTGACTGGGTTGCCAACGAGAACGGAGAGAAGCTATTAGCGGTCCGGCATTAGCTGTAAGGAGTATGGCCCGTAAGGTGTTATTGCCTGTCAACTGTAATCAACCCCACCTCATCAGACCGGATTAAAGTACAGGGTGTAATGCACGGCCGGCCGGCTATGGCAAACGCCAGTTGTTTGGTCCCCATTCCTACCTGCCTGGCAGATTAATATTTAATAGGGTCCAACAATTCCAGCATTCTCCGTACAAGGACAGACAGGTTGACCTCTGTTTTGATAAGCAGAACAGGTTTTTTTTCACCCTTTCTTTAACACGTATACACATGTACATGTAATAAAATTCAATAAGGTAAGTGTTTGCTCCATGAGTCAAACGCAAATGTCAGAATCTTTTTTTTTTTGATGGGGGGGGGGGGGCTTGAAAAGGCCAGATCGTTTACTTGGTTGGGATTGGCACACTACACCTGCTCAGGGAGAGCACCTCGTTAGCGATTGGGTAGAGTACTAGGCCAGTGGGAGTGTGTAAAACACAGCATAGGCAAGATGAGCTAGAGGTCTGTGAACTTCCCCGATGATGCCAGGGACTCAGTCCCCCGGATCAGGGGCTGTCAATTCCTGTATCCTCCTCTCCGTCAGGGGCCGTTACTTAAGTCGCTTTGATGCATAAATTATCAGGCTGTTAGCTGGGGCTTTGTGCGGGCCAGTGTACCTCATCCAGATTCCATAAATATTGACCGAGAACCAGTCGAGTAAAACAGACCTTTATTTTTTTTTGCATGCGGAGGGGGAGACTGCTCGGTTCCCTCAAGGCAGAGCAGTGCTATCACATTAGGCTGGCAATAGATTACGGATTACCAGCTTTGTTCTTACAGGGGACCTACAGATGCTATTGAACTTTCGTACTAACCGTTACGGGCAATGAGAGATGAAGGGGTGTTAGTGTGTAGCATGGATCACTTGTGCCAGTTTTTAAAGATGACACTGTAAGTGGGTCAAATTGGGTATACTGCTGCCATAGGCACTGGATGACTGGTGATGTACATGTAGTGTCTTCAATTAACCCCATGTTCCTTCTCATGATGCCCTCCCCTTCCCCCCAACCAAACATCCAAGCTATTCCTGAAAAGAGTCCACAATCACAAGGTAGATGTCCTAACCCTGAACCTAGACGTGTTTCGTCACTCGTCACTTCCCTTTACATGTACTTCATAAAGGCACTTCGCGACTTCAGAGCTGATCCAAGGGCTATTATCACCACCGCCAACATCATCATCTTCAAGGTTCTCTCATTGATGCTATCCCTTCTCTCCCCTCCCCCCTCCCGTGTGTCCTCCCGAAGAATTTCTCAAGTGGCAGGGCATCTCGCAGTGCCGGGAATCCCAAGAATGTCTCTTTGAGTCCCGTCTGTCTGCCTGTATTTGGCCTATGGAATGCCGATCAGAAGGGCTTCTACTATCATTCTCCCCCGTGATGGGTTCCTGTCACGGAACGCGATGAGTTTAAAAAAAAATAAATATGTGGGTTAAGAAAATCTAGCCTTGGAATTTGTCACATACTTAATCCCTGAGTGAAGATCTCGGTGCAGCCTGATATTGTTTTACAGGGATGCCAAAATAAATGAAATTGATGGAAAGCTCTGATTTTGTCCGCGACGTGTTTTGACATGTAATTGAGCGTATTAAACTGATTTAGATACCGTGCGAGTGATTAATTGTTAAGCTCATAAGAACTGACTGTACTAGGTATTTATAAGTGTGTGTATTTACACGTATTGTGCATTAAGCAGCTCGGGCACATGTTCTTTGAATGCGGCCTTTTATAATTTCCATTTCAATTCCAAAGCCTGTCTGGCGTTATTTCACAATAGACCAGTAATTATCTGAGAGAAAAAAAACTGGGTACAAAATCAAATATCCTCAGTCAACTTTCTTTTTTAGACATATCAATATTTTGAAAGTTAAAAAAATCAAAACAATTTGATATAAATAAAAAAAATCTGATTTAAATCAAATAAATCCGATTTGTTTTTTATTTCAGTAAGCAGTTTGCAGCAGTTTTACTTTTTTTCCTGTTTTTTATTTTGTTAAAAAGATAAAAAAAAAAAAAATTCGCCATTTAAATCTGATTTAAATCAAAGAAATCAGATTTTTTTTTTTTTTTTTTATTAAAAGGAAAAAAAATTACCACCCCTGCTTTCTTGAATGATACATGTACATCATGTAGTGTTTACAATGTAAGTTTTGTCTGTAATTTGCCTGAACGAAATGAATTATTGTCCAATTTCCCTGAAACAACTTGCAAAACATTCTCTCGGTGGCCAACCCAAAGAACAGTGCGAGCCATTGTTCAAGTTTAATGTCGCCGTCAAATAAATACATCACCGGCAGCGCTGTGAAATGTAGGAAGGCAAGGTCTCACTATCCTAACCTCTGACATCGCGTGCATGGTTGATGGCTCGTAGTCAGGCCTGCCTTGAAAGTGCACTTTTTTAAAGTCAAAACTGTGAATGTTAGACTTGCAGCTGAAATGGTAGTGGTTATTTTTAGGCCCGTCAGATGCTATCTTTTGTATTCACTTCCTCAACTAGTGTGTTCTTCTCGCTTACTTTGTCAGACAGTTCTTGGCTTTCCCAGCCGCTCAATTGGCCTAGAAAGAGAGCTGATAGGCAGGGGGGGGGGGGGGCAAAACGTTCAGCAATACCAAATTGTACAAATGTTACCCTGTTAAAACCTTGAAAAGGCACGGTACATGAACATGTACACGTATGTCTGTTTGTAGTTACATTGTACATTAGCTCATTCTCGGTAGGCAATGTAGTATATCGTCGGGTGCACCATGATACGTCATTTCGTGGTGCGACCAATGATGTGTACATGTACCGGTAGGTGAATACATTGAAGATCTGTAAAGAAAATTCATCATAGCCTATCACTTGTACCTTGCGTTTACATGTGTACATTGTGTACACAGTGAAAAACAAAATTAAACAGTGCTCACCGGATATGGAGCCAAGCTTTTGGTGCGAAGCACCTTCATTAGGGCAGTTGTGGCTAGACATGTACGTGTATACTTGGCATGTATTGAAACATTACCGTCTCAAATCAAATCAAATCAAATCAACCTGTCCTGTGTGTGATTGCGGTATGATGACAAATGGAAACTGCATCATGGTAGCATTACGTATACCTACATCATGCACCTACCACTAATTGCTCACCAGTAATGCTTCATTCTTTTTGTTTATCCTGTCTTCGTTTTTTCCTCATTGTTGCAGGAGTTGATTGTAATGGATGACACAGTGCTGGAGAATCACACGGAAAATCCAGCCCTTGTCCAGATGGTCTTTCTTGATGACGGTAAGCCCTTGATCATCTCACCCGCCCCCCCCCCCCCCCTCCATCTCCCACTATGCCTCAGATTTCTAATTGCATTGATTGCCATGACAATATCTGTAGCTTTGATTCACTGCCGTTAGGTTTGGGCTTCGTACGTATATGGTGTCCTTGCGCCAGTTTGCCGTCCGCGATGAAAATGCAAAGCGTAACAGTTGTTGAAGGACACGTGAGCGCCTTTGTTGTCCTTTCCCTACGCTCAGGTTGTGTTCCGTCATGCGCAAACGCTTTGGGATTGTGAACATTCATTTGGAGGTTAGTCGCGCATGCACTGTATGCGCACGTGAACCTGTGTTCTACATCTATTCCCATAGGCACCGATGATAAGGCTTTTTCACACTACGAAAAATCTCCGTGTTGTTACTTTTTAGCAACGAACATGCTAATAACCTTTGACCTGCTGCCCTGCCACGCCACCACCGGTGTGATATGAAAATCGGACTCGTTTGAAAATCGGACTCCTTTTCCCTTTTATTGGTTAAACCCTCTCACGTGACTGGTCCCTCTCCTAATTATCTATGCATGAGCATGCGCAATACAGCCAGGGCTGTATGATAAACTGGTTTATGGCTTCTGACTAGCGCCCCTTGAACAAAAATATTGACTAATTGGGGAACCGCCAACATAAGGCTGGATAGCTCAGTCGGTAAGAGCACTGGAACGGTTATACGGAGGTCGCTAGTTCAAGCCCCGCTCCAGTCAATTTCTTTGTTCAACTTTTCAATTGTTATTATTCACTTAGTCAGTTTCCCTGTGTGGTTCAATTGAAAAAAGGGTAAACATTTCAAACATGATTCCATTAAATGTCCTGTTCAGATTAAAGAAGGGAGAAAAATAAATGCATACTTATATCCAATACTTTTCCCAACTTGGTGCATGCAATTAATAACACGAAAAAAAGAGTAATAATTTTTTGTGATGTCAATTTTATAGGCTTGCTAATTCGCACACAAGACCTGTACATGTACATGTACATGTATGTAATTCACACACATTTCAAGTCACAAGTTTTAAAGAACTCTTTCGTTTATTATATTTAGCAATGGATTTCTTGTTTATCAGTGTGGTTTTTTTATGAGAGGCTGTAATAACATCAACTTCACTTTGGGTAATACATCCTGGCCCTGAACAAAGGATTGTGTCATTGTCTCTCCGTAATGCAATACCCTGGGTCGTTCAGGCAGGGCGATAGGGTTGCTTGCTGTCTGCCTGGCCGGACTGGTGCTTGAGTAAATAAATCCCTGTGGTCTAGGTTTGGCCTTGAGACCCCTAAGCACACTTCTGTTGTGATCTGCAGAAACCCAGACTGTGCTGTATAGGGTTATGCTCTGTGGTTATTATTGTATGTTTACAACTTAAAGGGAATATGTAACATTTGCTTTTGCTGTTATTTTCAGAAATGGATGGATTTGGGGGTTAGTATGTTACAGCAAATATTGTTAAACTGACTTGTTTCACGTTTTGGGCTTGTAGATGCCAGAAAAACCAAGAAAACCAATCATGTTCTTGTTGTAGTCTGGTTCCCTGACCCGGAGCAATTTATAGACTTTGGGGAATTGTAAGGTCAAAGAATCAGGCTAGCAGGCTTGTACCCATTCACAGGTGTGTAATCAATTGCAATTTTGCAAAAAAAATGCAGAATAACTAAATATGAAAACTAGAAGCAGTTTTTGAAAAAAGCCAGTTGTTTTCAAACGCTAGTCAGCCGACCAGCGTTGGAAAAATGCAGTTTTTCTTGAAAATGTCAGCACGCCAGGAGCCACGATTTTACAGGATGTTTTAGACTGTCATTCCCTAACAATTCTGTAAGGTATTTCGTGATAATTCGATAATTTCGGTTTTTGATGTTTGCAAATGTTGTATCTTCCCTTTAAGTACAACCCATTGAAAATGTATCATGGCTTATTGCTCATATATTTGTAGTGATTTGAATGATATCTACATTAAGTTTTTTTCCTTCTTTTATTTAACTGCACACTGTATTAGTATTAAATAAAATACTCAAAATGTGCCAATTTTGGTTGATTCAGTAGGCCCCGTTAATTAATGAAAATCTTGTGTCAAAAAAAATTCCTTTGTTCAGCAATTGGAAAGCTTACTCTCTTTAAGTTCATGTGTGTCTGTATCCGTGTCTGATAAAACATGAATTATTTGTGAATTTGTCGAGGATTTTTTTCCTAATGAATAAATTATTGATTTCTTGTTTCTCTCCTTGTCTCGTCAAAGTTGTGAGTTCTTTGCTGAAGGGGGAGAACGTTGGGATCACCCCACGCCGTAGAGTGAACGCAGCCAACACAACGCAAGCATCAAACACGGTAGGTTTCCTCAATACTCGTACTTCATAGATGTGCATGTGCGGCTTCATCGTGCAAATCAGGGACACACACGTGCAACATCATCGGTGCATTGGACAGGACAGGAACCAAAATCGAGGACGACCTCGATTAGAAATCATGTACAAAATCAGTGAGAGCTGTTGCAAAAAAAGTAGAGTATAAACAAAGGAAAAGGGAAGAGGAACGATAGAAAATCCTCGATTTGCACCAACAAAAGTGTACACTCAGCAGTAAAACCAAACTTTACACTTACCGGTACCAGTGCAACTTTCAAATTGCAAAATTCCTGTAAATTTTGACACAAACATTTGTTACTGGCAGCACGTTTTGTTGCCTATAATTTTTGGTGCTTATGTCCTCTCCCGAAGATATTTTCAAGTTCACCCTGAAAAATAGATTTTGTTCTTAAATTGCTAATCTTCTACCAATACAGAGGTTATGAATGAGACATTGTTTCAAAGGTTGTGAAATGTAATTTGAATGAGACATCGAACAAGGAAATCAAACTTTGCAAATTTTCAACTTAATTTGCAGACCAACAATCATTTTTTGCGTGCGTAATAGGTGCAAAAGCAACCTAAAAGTGAAAGCGTATTTAAGGGTTGACAACGTTGTTCAAACAAGCAAATTTCCAATTTGTAAGGAGAAGTAAATCATGTTAAAGCGCACGGTTAGACCATGGAGGATGGTTAGACCAATGTTAACTGAACATTTTACTACTGTGCACACAACTCTAGCTCAAAATTATTAGGAGATGAAGTGTTACACTACCATTCTCAAACAATGTTCATGAATTCTAACGCTACACGGTGTACACACTAAACTCTGACAAGAAAGTTCTGCAAAGTGGGTTAATTTTTTCATTGTCTTCGCTATCTTTGCAAGGTGCCCAGATATTATACTTTTCAGATGGAGAGGAAAACAAAAATTAATATTGCACTCAGACTCCTGGTGTAAAATATGGAAAGTCAAGAATATTTGACTGGCTTGCCCTCTGCTGTCACATACAAACTCTTCCCCTTTTACCCCATGGGAATAAAAAATATTACTCCTCCCTTTTCGATTTCGTTCTGGCCTTGCTTGCTTGACAAGTCTATCATGGATCATCAACTGCACGTGGTAAAATGCTAGAGCTGGAGGTTATGCAGCGAGGGCGCAGTTAAAGGGATGGCAATTCATCCAGAAATTGCGTGGAGTTTTGTTAGCGTTGGTAACCATGTGAAGGAAACTCAAAACCCTCTTTGTGGAAAGCGATTTCCTAGAGATGAATTGTCCGGGTGTGTTAATCTGTAAAACTAGCAATTGGTTAAGTCCCTATTGTTAAAAAAAATCACACACTGTGACCCAGAATGCATTAAGGCATCAGCGCGCTGGCTTTTTCAGCAGCACTTACTTTTTTTTTCAAAGACGAGCATTGAAGACACATGTGAAGTTTTATTTTATGGTCTGCTAAAAAAAGTATCAATTTTTAGCCTGTGCGGAACCGATCAGCATTTTTCTTTTAATCTGGTAAATTGAACTGATAGGTTGCTCCGTGGTGTGGGTGTGACATCCTACATCCATTAACTTCAGGCCTGATATTCTCTCTGTTATAGCGAGCGGCCTTGGAAGCAGGCATGATGGATCTGCCTGCACAATGACCATTGTGTGCTTTATAATCACAAAGCCCCAGTAGATCATCAGCGCACATTGTGCAGCGAGGTCACTTTTGATGTCCAGGGGCTGGATGATGTTCATCCAGAAATTGTTCTCGGTCAGGAAAAAAAAAATGAGAGGAAAAGAAATCCAATCATGTCTAGTGCTGTTAGGTTAGCCTCAAGGCTCAAGCATTAGTTTTTGACTTGACGTTTGCAAAAACAAACTCTGTGTGAAATGGGTTAGCAAGTATCCAGGACTGAATATGTTTATCTCATGGGAAAGGTAGAGGGACTAAGCTTCACTTTATTTAAACACCAACAGATTTTGAAGTATTTTTGGTTCATTCTCCGGTTTGTTTCCCCTGTATTTTTCTATTTCCCATCTTATCAGCATCCTGGTTTGATTGACAACGACCTTTTTATCGGAGCGTAAACCAGGGAGAGTCGCTTATGTTTTATTCATCAAAGCAAGGCCAGCTCATAAATTGAGTGATTTACGACATTTCCATAGGCCGTCTTGTCAATTTGTATTGTCCTCAAAGTGAACCCATTAACAGAGCTGTCTAATGACAGCATGTTGTCATCTTTCCTATTTTCCATTGTCCTTCATACATCATTGGAGGAATACATGTACATGTATACCCAAGTTTGAACACACTCAGAGGAATTCAAAAAAGATTGTACACAATTTTTGTCATCATCGTAAACAGAAACTCAAGAGTTTTTCAGTTGTGAGCAATGCGCAAGTATGCAATGAAGAAGGAAGATCGGGGAGACCTGTTATCATATTGTTTTAGTGTAAGGAGACACCGGACATTAAGGAGACATTTTGATGTCTCCCTAATGTCATATCCCCACTCTAGAGGCAAAATTTTACTGTCGCAATTACATGTAGGTTATATTTGTTGCTAGTGGTCTAATTAGTAAAAATACCAAAATTCGTGGCAAAAGGACAAGGGAATATTGGGTTAGGGCACATTTAAGTTGGACAAATTGTGTGCACAACCCAATGGGAATGTCCCCCGAAGGTACCAGTCTCCGTAATTATTATAATAACTTAGAAATACATGTTGTTATAAAATATTAACTGTTGATGTGTGATGTTCCCCCATATAGGGTACATTTTCTAGACCAGCTCCCCGGAGCCACAGTCCCAGTCAACCCCCAAGTCAGCAAGCCCCTCCCACAAAGAAGAAGAACCCTCGCTCCAAGCTGGCCGATGTCCCCGAGGTAGACAAAGACAAGGACAAAGACAAAGAAGAAAAGGAGAAAGACAAAGATAAAGGTAAGATTTTTAAAAAAATCACCAAAAAAAAAATCATGCATTCTTTAATGAAATTGTCGTAGTCATTTTGATTGTGACATTTTTGATGAGGGAGTGACATACATGAAGGCAATGCATGGGGGGGGGGTCTTTAGCCATTACATTTTGGTGTGATTGTGAACCCACTGACAGGAATTGAGTCGTGGTGATTGATCGTCAAGGAGATGTCGGTTATACACAAAGTGCCCTGGGAATTAATCATGTGTCTATTCATAGTTGTGGTGTTATGCTTAATACTTGTGCTGCTAGTCAGAATATGCAAAACATGAGTTACTGATCCTACCATGGTTTTTAGATTGTTTTACTTCTAGATTTAATTTGAATTTGCCAGCATTTTGGCCTTTCCTTGGCATTTTCTACATTGTTGAAGACTGCCTTAGAGTGGGATGGCTTTAAAGTGAATCATTACAATACTTCATTTGCATAGTTGTGTGGGGTCACTCCCCCGGCCCACCCATTTTTCCCCCCTGTATTTTTCGTATTTTGGATGAGATTTTGCACATTTCCAAATATACTGAAACCTGTACAGAGGAACAAAACTACACTGAGTTCAACCGTGGATTGATGGGTTTCATGTAATCAGTTTGGGGTGAAACGTTTCAGATTTCGAGTAATGAAGAGAGAATTTTCTTATTACAATCACCGCATGTCAATGTCGATATATACGATAATGACTAGCATGATGGGTCAATCGGGGAAGCGGCCTTTAATTGATGACGGGCGGTCATCATGACCGGGCTCAAGTCTCCCGAAGTCAGGTTCATTAAAAAGTCAGATCATCATGACACGGAACAGGTCTTATAATAACGAGCTTGTCATATGGGGGTCGGCCATCAGTAGACAAAATTAATTCCCCCAACAAATGGCCCGGCTGATTATTTTTTAGTCAGTTGGAAAGTGGCACCTTCAATCAGCAGCTAATACTCATCACCCTGCTGTCAAGTGAAAAAGAAAAGAAAAAAAAAAAACTGGACAAGACCTGATGGAATTGCAAGGTTGTTTTTCTCATCAGATTCATAACCGCGGCGGCGATGGCCTTTAGTGATACGAGCGCTCCATCACTTGCTAATTGTTTGTCTTCACTGCGCTCGCAATAGATCTCTCCCCCATGTCCCACCCTCTAAGATCTAACGTGGCCGTGCATCAGTGAAGAGAAAGAAAAAAAAGTGCCGTCAGCCAACCTCGCCTGCTCCGTAATTTATGTAATAACACTGGAGTGAATCTATTTTTGATAGGGTTTGGTGTATTGTGTGGGGTCATTCTCCCTTCCCAGTTTCTGTGCCAGAGATTCCCCCCCCCATGTTTTCCTGTCGTTGACCGTATTGTGGAAGTCACTCGAGATTGGAGTGGATTGAGCTGCAGTCTCCCTGAGTTTTTTTTCTACCGCAGCTCGACTATTCAGTTCAGCAGTAATCTTCACACAAGAAACTGACTTGTTATTTGCAAAGTGTACGGGAAAAAAACATGTTTACCGGTGCAAGGGCCTATGAATGTATTGCCAAGAATGGCTGCTTCTGTAATAAAGCCACGTATTAAAAAAAAAGCTATGTAACCCTTTAAAACCCTGCACGTCGGTTTCAAGTGTAAGGATATGAAATGTTTAAGTAATTACTGTGTCACACAGAGAGTTACTGCACCACAGAACAGCACTGTGGAGAGCAGCGAAGCGTGACCGAATCTGCCTGCTTGTCCTAAACTTAACCACACAAAAGAATTGTGCAGGGATTTGAAGTGTTATCCATACTCCACAGAAGATTGCCTAAAAGGAATTTGAAGTGTTGGTGCTAACTCTATGGGCAAAAGTAACTTTTATATTCATGAAGAGCACATGTACATTCACTTTGGGAGTGTGTCTTAGGACTGGTTGCAAATGCAGTACACATACTGTCGCGACTGATTTATGTACGTAAATTAATGAGCAGTGTTCAGGTATATCACCTTCACTCATTAAGATTCAAGACGGACAAAGCAATCCTCTAAAGACCTTGCTGCAAGAGGTGATGATTAAACATCATTGGCATTGGGTCTTGGTTATTTAATTGACATGCATGGGCCATTCATGTCCCCGTTCACCCCATCCTCCCCCCCCCCCATTCCCCACCTCCCCCCCCCCATCCCCCACCCCCCCATCCCCCCCCCACCCCCCCCCCCCCCACCCCCCCCCCCCCCCACCCTCCAATCTCACCCCCACTGCCATCCCCACCAGTTGGGACAAATCCCTGCGTGACACGAGCACAGGTCAATGGCCTGGGGAGAAAGCGCGACAGTACCACAACCGCACCTCAGCCACTGCCCTGCAAACCGGCATCATATTATCATCGCGTACTGCGATGACGCCTATAAACACCCATTTGCAATTAATATAATCAACGATAACATCAGACATGTACCGGTACACTGTACCTTCTGATGAGAAGTTTATGGCGACTGAATATTCGAATAAATTGATCAATTACTGTTTTTTCCCCCTCCTCCTGAGTTCCCTTAAAATAACATACCTGGTACATAAAGCAGCTAAAAGTGTAATTTAGAATGTCCCATAAATCTTTTAATGAAGAGGCTTATTTTGATATTGCGGTTGAAGATGAAAAAAATATATCCATCTTTATGGCAGGCCTCACTACAAATGGTTTACCAACCTCTGTAGAATCATTTTGAGTGGTTGAGGGGGGGGGGGGGTGGCGTGCTGTCCTGATTCAGGGAGGCTGAGAGATATAGGTCACAGGTTCGAGGCTGTTAGCAACGTGCCCTCAGCAATGGTTTGATAACACTGCTATGTAAGCACAGCCGTTCCCAACATACATGCACAAGGATGCCGTAGATTTCAATTCCTGTGTTTTAGATTGACAACATATACATGTATGTAATGATACAGCTGGGTTTTTTTGTGAAGTTGGCTCTTCATTCCAGTCATATAAATCATCCCTTAACCAATCATTTTTTACCTCTCATTTTTTGTTTGTTTAACCAATTTTTATAGTAATTTTGTTAGTGATGTACAGTCCAGTCTCTTTATAACAAACTCGTTCGGACCTAGCCAAATTGTTTGTTATATCAGAATTTTGTATTAAGAGGAACATCAGTCCCATTCATTGTGCATATAAATGCACAGTCGGGACCAAGGCTTTATGTTTGTTATAACCAGAATTTTGTATTACTTAACAGAGTTTGTACTAACGAGAGTCAACTGTAGATTGTGCCATGTATACGTCTCACTTGGCGAATACCGGCACTATATACGTTTTCATTGTCATTAATAATATTATGTATCTAGAGCTTCATTTGAAATTACATAATAAGAAATCTCTCTTTTGAGGCATCACAAACACTTTGTCGCGAATAACTTGCATGTAACTGCTCTCAGTTCTACAAGCTTTATTTTGAAACGATTGTGTTGTGTCGCAAGTTAGCAGTTATCTAACTTGTTATTTGTCTGTGATTGTATTCCGACCCAGAGAGTATCAAAACACGGCGAGATCGCTGCACAGATAGATCTTGCTCCTTTTTCGTTATTGACCTGTTGACACAAAGTCCTCTCTGAGGAGAGAATCGATGATATTCCATTCCTATTCTTATCCCCCTTGTTTACCGTTCTCCCCGCGCAACTGCTTCCCGGGGTTGTTCTGCAACAGCAACGGACCCCAAAAGAAAGGGAAAAAAATATGTCCAGGCTTTCATACGGGCGGACGTTGGAAATGTCATCGCAGATTAGCTTCGGGCCACAGTGCCGGTGGCGTCATTTCTGCGCCGTTTATGAAACTAGGTCACCGGTGAATAATACACAGAGGCGACTGCGCGGCCGGGGAGAGGAAACACTCGACGTAGTCCTGCTTAAAAGCGTTCCCACTTCCCCCCCCCCCCCCCCCGGTTCTTTCTGGACATGAATTTGAAGGAGTCATGAATTTCATACACGTCCTGAATGTTTATCCAAAGAACTATGGTGCAACAGAAGCAACTCACTCAATATAAAAAAATATATATAAATTCAAGTGTTTCTGAATAAAAAACGTAAAGTGGGAACTGGCAAGGAAGAACTTGAAGCACTGCATGCACGTGTGTGTGTATGAAAATAAATGATGCTGTTACTCACCGCAATTTAAAAAAAAAGAAGAGCAATTTGATATTCTCTAGAATTGGTTATAGAGACACTCATGTCGCAGTTTTCTATAGCCTTAAAGGTATAGTCCATCATTGGTAATTTGTGCATTTTGTTGGTTTGAAGCAACAAACGTGCTCAAAATCTAAAGAATGGTGCTGAACAACTAACCTGATGAAGTTGCAGCTCAAGCTTCAGCTGTATATTTCGAGAAAAACAACATTCTATTTGTAGGATCTCGCTTTCAAATCAAAAGTTGCTGAATCATGTTTTGAATTGGGCCTGAATTCAGCGTACGAGACATGTTCTCACTGAGCCAATTGCAGCTATGCGATGTCACGCACTGATCCGACGAATTAAAGCAACCGCGCACGTGCGTCGTGTCAACGCTTGCGCGTGCTACGCCGAATAAAATACGATCTACTAATGGACATTTCCAACGGTCTTCTTTCGTTGATTTCTTCAAATGACAGCATGCCAGAAAGAATAATTTTAAGGGAGTTTAGTCCCCTTACTATCTTTCAACCAAGTATGTTTTTCAACACGAATTACGTCAGTTACTTTTTGGATAACTGCAAATGATGGACTGTAGCTTTAAGAATGATGCGGTGAGAAACTCCTGCTATTCCATAAGGTTAAACATTTAGGACAAGTGGAACAAAACCTTGATATTATTTCATGCATTTCTCTCTTGGAATTGAACAAGTGCTCCATATATGAACAGTACAAAAAAATGCACCGTGTTAAATGACCAAAGAGTAGTTGGACAGAAGAAAGCAAATTAGAATCTGTTAACAATGAATACACCCCACTTAATACGTCTGGCTATTTTTGATAAGAGTGGCTCCCCCTCGGTGTGGAGGAA